TGACGGTAGTATACCATTTTTGAAAGTGAAAAAGACCGTAAAATGTACAGTGAATGACCGTAAATTGACATTCCCAGAATTCCCTGCGTTACATTTTAAATTTTATGTTTTTTTGTTGAAATAACTGTTTCTTCTTAGTTTTTTCTTATCCGTTTTGTATATTAGGGTTGTGTGTTACACCTAATGTTGTTAAATGAATGTTTATTGCATTATTTCAGTTTCGTGTGTTACCATGATGGTGTTTAGTGTTTGTGTGAATGACACTGTGCACCTTCTATATATGTTATTATCTAAAAGCTGCTTGTGATGGGCTTTGGTTCATCATGTGACTTTCTCATCACCACCTGCATTTGGTGGTTATCAGTGTATTACAAAGTTGCAAAACAGATTTCAGTACTTCAATAGGTTGGTATATTAACATTATATCAGTTAATGAAAATACGGTATTTAACTGTAAATTTAAGTTAAAACCGTAAAACCTAAAACATTGCTACCGTATTTTTTACGGTAAAATTCCGGCAACCACAGCTGCCGGCAATTTTTTACCGTAAATTTTACGGAATTTTTTTTACAGTGTAGCAAAATGCATTTGAAATTTGTCTATTGTATTATTTTAAGCCATTATTTTCAGGTTGCTTGCTTTTTTTTAGTAAGATCTGGCAACACTGCTATTGGCTTATATGCCAACAGAAGGTCACTGTCAGTGAGCATGCATACCGTTCCTTAACAACATCATCCTCAGTCAACCTGTACTATAATCCTACAACCACACAGTACACATACAGCCATAATGCTTCAAGCGCAGTAAACACAGTATTACTATGGACAGCTCAGTTCATCATGTGCTGTGTAACTATGATCAGAGACAAAATCATCCTGGGACCATATACAGGACAAATCAAAACAATTTATTCTCGGGAAACAACAGATCTCATTGATCATTCTTGCTGCCCTTTGTATGGAGAACCAGCACACATAAATGCCATAAAACACAGTTAACCACAATCCAATGCAGATTAGTTATAAAACACACCAATTACTTTAATATTCTGAGTCTGAACACACAATGACCACGTTTACATGCACATCATTTTCTACTTAAGATTCTTGTTCTGAAAAAGATGTTTACATGTTCTAGAGCTATTGGAATATTCCTATTTACATGTAATCAGCATATTCCAAACTCCTTTTCTTTTCTGGAAATAATAGAGAAGCTCTTGCAATTTATTATGCTGCGTTTGAGAATTTCTGGACATGAATTTAATCAACTCATTAGTTCTTATTCATGTCTTTTCAATAGCATGATGGTTCGCGAAACATTGGAAATTAGACTCTTGCAATGTAAGCCGTGACGTTTCTTTTATTGTTTGTAAAATGTTAGTCAAAAATGGAAAAATAGCTTTGTTTGGACAGGCAGATATAAATACACGTTCAGTTGTGGTGGATATTCTGAATACAAATTATGATTAATACAGGAATTTGCTAGCTGCCTTATTCAGATTATTAAAACCAGAATACTGGCTTAATATTGTTATAACAATCAGGTTAATGCGTTTATTACACTCACACAACCGGAATATGACTGACATCACCAATATTCTTGCGCATGTAAAGGCAATTATACAGTATATAGATGTTCAGTTATGGTGGATATTCTAAATAAGGTGTTTACATGACCTAAAATTATGATTAATACAGGAATATGCCAGCTGCCTTAATTCAGATTACAAAAGCTGAATATCTTGTTATAGCAATCAAGTTAATTAGTTTACATGAGGCTTACACCATCGGAATATGATTAACATTAGAATATTCTAGTGCATGTAAACGCAATTTATTTCTGCAATAAATGCTGCCGTTACTCTCAAAATGTTTTTGTTTGTATTTGGTAAAAATGTGCACTCACAAAGTCACAATGTCAGGTTCCTTTGATAAAACTTCTCAAGACTTATGTATGACCTCTTAAAATCACCTTCAAACTGAAATGTTGCAAAGATTTTCCTCCACAAAGCCAGGAATCTGTTTTTCTTTAGTCTAGTAATGGACAGCCACATCTGCTGTACTGGAAGTGTGTTTATAGGGGTGTATGTAGGTGTGTTAATATTTCAGTGGGGATCAGAGCTTCATTCATCATTAGGCAGGTACAGATGAGGCTGCAACATCAGTCTTCCCTCAGTCAGAGAAACAAGCCTCTGGCTCCCAGAGCCCTTCATTAATGATTCATCCTGATGAGCTCATGTCTCCTCCAGACAGGTACCATAGAGCCATCGCTCACTTTCCCTCAACCGCACAGAGGCCATTTGATTTTGGATGTCCAAAGTCTAAAAAGAAATCATGGTGCTACTTTGTTTCATTCCATGGTGGCTTTAAAAATTACATAGACAATGTACTGTAATATACTGCTTTTTTAATGCTTGGGGTGAGTGAGATTTTTATTTTATTAGTTTTTTAATATTTGTTACTTTGTTCAATTTAATGCATCATTGCCGAATAAAAGTAAAGACATATATAATGTTACAAAACATTTCTACTTCAAATAAATGCTGTTCTTTTGAACTTTCTATTCATAAAAGAATCCTGACAAAGAAAAAGCTATTATGGTTTCCACAAAAATATTTAGCAGCACAACTGTTTTTAACATTGATAATAATAATAAATGTTTCTTGAGCAGCAAATCAGCATATTAGAATGATTTCTGAAGGATCACGTCACACTGAAGACTGGAGTAATGATGCTGAAAATGTTACTATTCCATCAAAGGAATAAATAACATATAATCAAAGAGAAAACTGGTGTTTACATTTTTTTTTTAAAATATTTCACAATATTACTGCTTTGTATTTTCATCAAATAAAAGCAGCCTTGATGAAAATAAGAGATGCTTTTCAAAAGCATTAAACAATCTTACTGACCTCAAACTTTGTATACTAACACAAAATGCATTTGTATTGTTTTTATATACAATAATAATAAAAAAACTATTATTTTTAATTAAAAAAAAATTTTTTAATACACATTTAAGATAAAAGTATACCTCCATGTTTTTTAGTAGACACCTTTTCTTGTCTTTTATTTGAATATCTTTTGTTTAAAATGCAAGTTGCTTATGTTCTCATCATCAGACTATCATTTGTACAGTTCAATTTAAGTAATGTATTATGTTGCATTTCCTAATAAAGTTACCAGCCAACTGGATTAGTGTTAATTTAGGATTGTATAATCTGTAGACAGATGAACACAATTAGGGAAGGATATGCACGGTTGCTTGTTTGTTTCATTTAAAAAAAGTCACTAAAAGAAAGAGCAGAGGCTGCTATATAATTATTATTGTTCCTCAGAGTTTAAAGCACCAGCATTATTCTATGCTTTTACTCGCTATGACAGATTTCAAAGATGAAAAAGAATCTATAGGTAGCAGATTGCATGTCAGACCTTGTGGTTTACTTCGGTTCAGATCAGTTCAGTATGTTGTGCTTTGCTGAGATGAGTGACACTATAAAAACATTCATGACCTCATTTTGTATATCAGAAAATGACACGACAGACACTTAGATGTGGAGCATTCATGCTGTTCATGGGTATACCATGCTTCACTGCTTTAAAAAAATAAGTTCAAAAGCATTGATACTCACACACATCAGGACGCTTTATGGGATTAAAGGGACACACACGCACACACTCACTCATACTCTATCATAAACAAAATTACACCATAAAGGCATATAAACCATATTCCCATGAGATGCACACCAGCGTAAGAGTGATCGCAGCAGCAGGCAGGGATGGCGAGATGAGATACAGAGAGAGAGAGAGAGAGAGAGAGAATGAAAGCAGAGAATAAGGCCATGTTCACACAGTAGCAGAATATGGTTGTCAGTCCTGTTTCGAGGGCTAAACACAGTTATGCTTATATGAAGGAAATTTGACAGAAAAGGAAGTTGAAAAATTTATTTTTAGGGCTGTCAAAGTTTAGTTTTGGTTTGCTTTCTAAAGTCACAAATCCAAATATTTATTTAATTAATTATATTTTTTTCTACTGACAGTCACATTTTTTAACTTTAAGAAATAAAAAAAAGTCTAAATAGTAATATAGTTTTATGAATTATCATAAAAATATCTTCTATATTTATAAAATATCTTATATATTTGGGGTTGATAAGATTTTTTGTATTTATTTATTTAGTCTTTTTCATGTTTTTAAAAGTAATCTTTTATGCTCACCAAAGCTGTATTTATTTGATCAAAAACAGCAATATTATGAAATATTATTGCAGTTTAAAATAACCGTTTTCTATTTGAATATATTTTAAAATTTAATTTATTATAGTGATGGCAATGCTGAATTTTCAGTGTCACATGATCCTTCAGAAATCATTCTAATATGCTAATATTCTAATATTCTAGTAAAAAAAAACAACTTATTATTATTAATTTTGAAAATGGGTGTGATGTTTAATATTTTTGTGGAAACTGTGATACATTTTTTTTAAATCATGATTTATTTGAAGTAGATTTTTTGCAACTATGTAAAAGTCTTTACTGTCACTTTTGATAATTTCAATGCATTCTTGCAGAATAAGTTTTGAGACACTCAAAAAAAGGCAATATTGTCTGTAAAGGTGCTTTGTAACAATATTTCTGATTATAGATGTTTACTGTTCGCATTAAAAGAAAGATAATATTTTAATAATTTGATTTGACTTTACAAAAGAACCATCATCATCATAAAATAGTAGAAATAATCTAGTTTAGAATCAAAATTAACACTACAAAACACAATGCAGACTACAAAACACTAAAAGACACAATCCAAAGTCTTGATATTTACTATTGTTAAACGATGGTTACCATATCACTACAGGCATTATTCAAGATCACACAGGTTACAGAGGATTGAATTCAGATCTATAATTATATTAACAGGACAAATCAAGAGTCACACCTGTTAGTACACTGACTGTGTGAACCCAGCCTAAAGAGAGTTAGAGAGCAGAACAAGCATAAAGACAAAAGAGAGAGGAAAGAAAGAGCACCACGACACACGGCCACGATGTGTGGGTCTATGTAATGGTGGTGAGGACGGGTGAAGGCGTGCTGACGTGACGTCATGGTGGTTGAAGCAGGCCGACACGCAGAAGAGAAGAAAAAAGAGGACAGATACCTACCCTGACCTGCCGCTATCTAGCTACCGACCTGAGGACTGTCCGTCTCTGAGCTCTCAGGCTCTGCTTGAGGCTCACTCGCACCCGGAGACTGCTGGGAGTCTCCAGCCTGGACAAAGAAAGAGAGAGGAGAAGAATGGAAAGGGAAAGGAAAAAAGAGTTGGGAAAAAGAAAGAAGACAGTGAGAGAAAAAGAGGAAAAGGACAGAAGCGACAAGAATATAAGCAGCCGGAAAAGGAAATCCAGAGTAAATCCAATAGTTTACATGCTTTTTCCTGCAACAGTAAAACACAGAAGCATAGACAGTGCTGTAAATGTGCAAAAAAAAGAGAAAGAATTCATCTATCTATCCATCCATCTATTAATTCATACATTTATTAATCCACCTTCGTCCACCCACACTCTGATGTATTCATAAGCCCCTCACACATGCGGCCATTACCGGAGCTGTGAAAACCCCTCGGTTAGAAAGGCTCCTGTATTGTGCTCCCGCATGAAAGGTTTTGGACTAAAGCATTTTGGATTTTTATGAATATTCCCTCTGGAGCTGCACTCTTAACACCTCATCACAGTGTGTGTGGGTGTGCAGTGTGACTGACTGAGTGAGTGTGGAGCCCAATGCCATTTCAACTGGACACACACACACACACACACACACACACACACACACACACAAGGGCTAATTAAACTTTTTGTTCAGCTGAAATATAAAAGAAAGGAGAAAGTGCACTAGTCGGGTTTCCATGGCATTTTCTGATGAATCATATCTGATAGAAATCAGCAGAGAGAAAGTGTGTGTGTATGAAATACAGTGGACGTCACCACTGATGAGGTTACACTGCATCTCAAGCAAGACTTAAAAGGATAATTCACCCCAAATTACATTTTTGTCATCATTTACTCACTCTCTTGTCGTTATACACGTTTCACAAAATAGGACTTATGACTGGTTCGGTATATCAGTAGGACTTCTAAAACCATGTAGTGGCTTTAAACAGAGTCCACCCAAAAATGAATATTGCGTCATCATTTGCTCACCCTCATATCTGCTGAACACAAAAGTACACAACAAAGCCTGCAGAATAAAGAACGTCATACACATTTGGAATGACATGAGATGAGTAAATGATGACAATTTTCATTTTTGGGTGGACTATTCCTTTAAGTCAGGGGTCACCAAACTCGGTCCTGGAGGGCCGGTGTCCTGCAGAGTTTAGCTAACCAGCTAATCAAGGTCTTGCTAGGTATACTAGAAACTTCCAGGCAGATGTGTTGAGGTAAGTTGGAGCTAAACTCAGCAGGACACCTGCCCTCCAGGACCGAGTCTGGTGACCCCTGCTTTAAGTGATCAACATATTGATATTTAATGTTATTTATAAGGTAAATTGCTGTGAATGAATCAGCAAGTCAATGACTTGAGAACAAGATTAGTCCAATCCATGAATAAATGATTGAAAATGGTTTTGTGAACTGGATCAAACGACTCAACAAAATGATTCATTCATGAACTGAACATCAGTACTTCTCTCATGAACTCTAATGAACATTCAGCTCAAAACACAAATCTAAACACATGGTTTTCGAAGACTCCGAATACAAGCCATATAAACCACTTTTTTTTGATGCTCTTGCATACCTTTTGAACCTTGAAATCTGTAGTCCATATTCATTTTACTGAAAACAGTTACCAGTACATTACTACACGTTATTTTCCCTTTGCCTTCCAAAGAAGAAAGTAAGTCGTTTTGAAAAAGTTTGAAACAACATGAGAATGACTAAATCATGTCAGAAATGTTTTTCTTTTATGCATTTAGACTAAAAATTGGTGGATAATATCTTTTATAATATTTTTTTTGCTACATTCTTTATGGGTGATAATTCATATGATGAAATATAAATATTAAAGCACTATGGAAGAATCAGGCTCACTTTTAATACTTCAGTTTTCATCAGGATATGTAATAGGTCTTTATATTTTCACAATATTAATCAGGTAAGTCTGCAATCTCTATGATCTTTGAGAAATATCTCTGTGAGTAATAAGGTCATAATGATCATCTTGACAGTTACACAAGCTAATTTAACACCGTAATGGGCCCAACAGTGGTTCAAGCAGGGTAGCCAGCAGAAGACATTTTTATCTGCTGTATCCTCAAAGTCAAGAGCTGATAAAAGAAACTAAACTTAAACTCTAGGTTTTTATTCTGACTGTATTTTGTGTAATGATAATAAAGCATCTATGGGATGAGCATATTGGTGAATTGTAATTTTGATGTTCACAAAAATACTTTAAAATAGTAATCTAAAATATCAATTTTGCCATATACATGCATATAAATCCTAATCTAAAATCTTGATTTTAAAATATCCATATACATACAGTATTCTATGTCAAGTAACCAAGTTAGATGTTGAACCCTTTAAAACTACATTTCCCACAATCCCGTTCAAAATAACTTACAGCATCCTCCTCTCCGCTCCGACTAGGGCTGCCCTCTGCCTCACCAAAAGAGTCATCGGTGGGCGGGTCACTGGCGTGGGATGAGGACTTTGATGGAGAACTCTGCCGGGGGGCCGGGGTGGGTGCTGTGAAGGAAAAGGCCAGATTTATGGATAGTAATGGGCCAAACCGAGTCAATCTTACACTTGTTTATTATATTAACTGATTCAAAGCTTTTGATGTGTTGTTGGGCGATGCTAAGAAGGTACAAAATGTTTTTCATCCCCTGGGTGAATAACTAAATATCTGTTGCTGTCTGATAGGAAGTGCACTGAAATTTTCACACTTACATCAAAGACGAGGCTCATTTTTGATCAATTATACATGAAAACAATGTTCCTTTTTGGGCTCATGCAACTTTACACTGCTTCTGGAAACCATATGCTGTCACAGCACAGTGCAGTGAATGCTTAATGGTAGTTGCATTCAGTCAAGGAAATAGTCTTTGTACTTAAATATCTAATGTGTTCATTTTCATGTAAGGTTTACAATGAGTCTTTTTCTACTTGTTCTCAAGGAAGAAAAAAAACATGAATATGTATCTACATTATTTTTCAATACAGACTTCCAATTCATTAGATACATAACTAGATAAATAGAATAAAAGAGTGCTGTAAACAGTAAAACTTCGTGCAACTAAAAAGTGTGTTTATGATTATAATTAACTGAAATAATATGATACAAATTGAAATTGAAATAACATGAAACAAATACCGGTTTGCACCATCGATCAAACTGTTTTTGCACAGCTAAAGTGACTGGAAGTGTACAAATTGCTGCAGTTTCTATTTGAAATGTCCACAGGGTGGTGCTAGAAGTGATTTGACGTACTTCCATTGAAACAAATCAAAACAAGAAGGTTACTGGTTAATAATGACTACAATTTTTTTCCCCTCACACAAAGCCACCAAATAGCCTGAAGACAAGATATAGTTGTGCAGAGCAGATTTTTTATTTTGTGTGAAATTTCCAACTACAAATATTTTGTTGCAGACCTATTTTAGCTCTAGCATGGCGCTAACAATGCTAAAGTCATTAGCTTGGCTCCCAGGGAACCCACAAACTGACAGAATGTATCCTCAATATGCTGTGTTTTTTTAAAAAACAAAACAACAAAATCAAAAATCATGTTGTGATCTCATCTGAGGTTGAATTTTGAATTTAATATTGTGGTTAAAAATCCATGTTGAGGCAGGTTTATTGTTAAAGGCTGGATCTGAATTTGAATTTAAAGATTTTAAAACACCTGGCATCAAACAGTCTTGCTGACTTTGTAAATGGTTACAGAGAAAAACGTCTCAGGTTACTTATGTAACCATGGTTCCCTGAGTAGGGAACGAGACACTGCGTCCTCTAGGGGTCGCTATGAGGCGTTCCCCATAGCAACCCCTAGAAGACACAGTTCGAAGTTCCCATGAAAGGGAACGTCTCAGGTTACTTATGTAACCATGGTTCCCTGAGTAGGGAACGAGACACTGCGTCCTCTAGGGGTCGCTATGAGGCGTTCCCCATAGCAACCCCTAGAAGACGCAGTTCGAAGTTCCCATGAAAGGGAACTGGGCATCACACACTAAACGACTGTGGATCACACACTTTCAAGTCATTTTAAACTTGACAAGTCAATCCAAACAGGCGTTTATGCGTGAGCAATGAACCAATGATCCAACGATCCAGTCAATACCTGATGGACAAAATCAAGTCCCGCCCAACATTAATTTTCTCATTCAAGAAGCCATTTTACTCAGAGAAACATCACAAGAGGGAAGAAAAGACGGTCACATCCCTGTTTCATGCCGACTTTAAGACTCTTCAAATAAAACTCTAACTTTTAGTGCCATTCAGTGATATTTTTGCCTCAAAACTAGAGCGAGTTGTACCTAGGAGAATGTATGTTGGCTTTTGCACATACTAGGCAAGATCAGTGTAAATAAACTTATGCATTTAAGCCCAAAACCTGTCAGAAAGTGTGGACCGAAATCCCTTACTGACACCTAATAAATGAGTATGTCTCTCATGGAGGGACTGCTTGTGTGCAAACGTGCGAAGTTCCATCGCAGCAATAATTAGCACTACAGGAGCGAGAGGATCCAAACAGGCCCAACACACAGCGCAGGACTCCCTAGAGATCAGTGATAATTACACAGCTCGCCAGAAGGACAGCTGGGCCTGTGACTGACTCTCTCTTTCCCCTGCCGTCGCTCCCCACCGCAGTACTAATTGTCATTTTCACGCTGACTAAAGACAATGCCTTCTGGGCAACAGCATCAAAGCCCACCTTTCAACCTCTGAGTGAAAACGGATGCGTTGATGAAAGACGGGATGAGGTGCGAGTTTGAAGTTCTGTAGTAGGAAACGGATAAAGCCTGTCTAGCCGTGTCAGCACTCTTAAAGGCTTGCAATGAGAGAGGCGAGAGAGAGAAAGATAGTAAGTTCTTCTATGTGGGATTTGTCTTCTTTGTTGATGTACCGCATTTAGGGTCAATGGAGCTTCAGGATAATGTGATTCTGTTGGTCCTGAAATAACATATCTGATATAAAAACTACATCCCTAAACCGATCCCTAAGCCTAACTGTACCATTACCAACCTCTAAAATCAGATAAATACAGTTCACATCATTTTAAAAACATATATTCTGGTCAACTTGCAAAATCTAACACGTGTGTATATCTGACCTGCTCATTCTGCGTCACGCATTTCGAATTTTATGCAGTCAAGTAACAAGGAAAATTGCAGCTTTCTAAAGATAATTATTATGTTTCCAAACCGTTGCTGAGATATAATCATTTAAATGTTGGCTATTGTAAACTCTAGATGTTGAAAGAAAAAATGGAAGTTGCCAAACATTTTAGACATTATCCGATAGATTTATTCAAAAATGTATTAAATAATTAAGACATCAGTGAAAGGTTAATTGAGGTTCCTGTGGCCTTGGAGGCATTCCTGTAACAATGCTAAAAGTCATGGTTTAAGGAATGCATGAACTAACAAAATGTAATTGCTAAATGTAAATGCAGTGTAACACATTTTTGATAAAATAATCTACCAAATGCATATAAAATATAAAAATGTATATATATATATATATATGCGTGTGTGTGTGTAATGCTTATTGATATTTGAAAAACACTTTTCTGCCAAAAAAAAAAAAAACCTCATGTGATGCAACTAGCATAAATATGCAGGAAAATAATTAATAAAACAGAAAATGGTATCATACAGCCCTCATGATTATGTGTCAAGGTCCTTTTATGACACTTCTGACAAGTCAAGTTTGGTCCAGGTCGTAAGTATGTAATGATATTTATAATTTAATATAATTAATAATTCACGACATTTGTTAAAATCATAAAAATGGCTTTGAATTTGTTAAAATTATAAAAAATATAAAGTTAAAAACAATATATATATATATATATATATATATATATATATTGAAAATAATGATTATGCTCACAAGTTCAATCATGTGTATTCAAAGTGTAAGGAAAATTACTTTATGATGTTTAATTAAAGTTCGGGAGGAGCACATTCAGAAAATCAATTAATTCAGCACAAGTGGAGCACGTTCAGATTATCAACTTAATTAGCATGATAGCAAATATATACAGCCAACTTAACTCTGTCCCACGACAGTTTTTCTGGCATCCCTCCTCCACCTTAACTCCTCACTACTAACTATTGTTATCCCAGCTTGGGGTATGGGGAGTTCTCTGGGTTCGGGGCTATATTCTGAGCTCAGAGCCCTCCCCTTGGACAGCACGCCAAATATGCTTACTATCTGCTCAATCTGATTATATGTACTGTAAGTGTGAACTCGTGAATTATTTGATGGTTAAACCACATGCAATTTTGAACTGACCTGAAACTCTTCCTAAAATTGATATAAAAGTTTTTCTAAACCAAATGAAACCAACATTAATATGTGGATTTTATTTATAAGAACATCAAACTTTTCTAAAATAACTTCCGAGTCAAAATCACAGAACGCATGGCATAAGTCTGAAACATCCTACTCACGTGAGTTGGTGGAGGGCGTGGTGGAAGTGACAGGCGTGAGGTTCATCTGCGAGATGTCGAAGTCGTCGCAGTCGTCTGTGTCTTGCGCCATTCCCACTCTGTTGAAGTAGCTGGAGAAAGCGTCTGTGGTGCTGGACAGGCTAAGCTGCTCGCTCTTCCTGGCAGGCATGGTGGGCGGCTTTGCCATCTGGAAGTCCTTAAACATCTCCTTGCTTATCTTTTCCTGTCTCTGCAGCGTGCATTCTCCGTGCTGCGGACTAGAGGCCGTGGAGGCCGAGGTTCCTGCCACGGCTCCACCCATGGCTGCCGCGGGCATCTCGCAGGACACGGGCACCGCCATGGGAGCCAGTGTCTGAAACATGGCAGCAGAAAGCGGCCCTACTGTCTGGGCAGGCATGAAAGCGGCAGGCGAAAAGTGAGCCCCTGCCATCGCGGCCCACTGTTGCTGGGTGGCAGGGAAAAGGTTGGCTTGACCCCAGATCAGAGGTTGAGCGCCTGGTAAGACCTGCGCGACGGGCACTGGGGACTGGACGCCAAACGCTAATGGAGCCTGAGCGGCGAACTGTTGCTGCGCCCATGCAGGCGGCACGGCTCCCATTGTCACATAACCTAAAGGACAGAGACAATGAGACTTTTAGGGTACATTTACACAACAGCAATTGTACTAAAACAGAAAAGTTTTCCTGTTGTTTGCATGGATTCACAAAAATGGCTAAAAACACTGTATTAAGCATGGTAGGCCAGTAGTTGGCGATATCACTTTGTAAAGAAACATAACATCTGCGCACATATACATTCATATAGACTGAGTTATATAATACACATGCACATGACTTCGATGTTTTCACAAATTCACATTTTCGTAGTTTACGCAGAGACGATAACAGTATCATTTTTGAAACCCGTTCATAAACACCCACTTTGAAACCGAAAATATGGTAAATATTTGATAAATTCTGTATATTTTTATTTTCTATATTTATTTGCGATACATAACATTAAACCTATAAATATTATATAAATAATAAAAATTACATTTGTTATTTATTTATTTGGCATAAAATTAGGGTTTAAATTAGCATTTAAAAAGCATTTTAAAACAGGTTTATTTACACTAAATACCATTTACTTAGAAAAGCAATATTTAACTAAACATGACATTACTTTCTAAACGATTTTAATAAATAGTGCAACTGTCACATGTTTTCATCTTGTGTTTGGACTTTTTTATGCTGTAGTTCTTCCCTCTGAGTTTACGGTTTCCTGTGCTGGTTTGTAGTTGTTTGTAGTTTCTTTTTTTTTTTGTTCCTTTGATTGTTTCTCCAGGTGTGTTTTATTTCCTCATTAGCCCTTGTCTGTAGGCTATCTACAGCCTTATATATGTTTCCTAAGTTCTTGGTCAGTATACGTGTTTTCTGTTCTCCTGGATTCTGTTCCTGGTAAGTATGCTGCATTTAGATCCTTGTTTCCTCTTGCTTCCCTGGATCTACTCGTTACAATAATACAATTTTGAGCATGTTTATTTCTGCACATGCGGTACAATTTCACCAAAATAGCAATGTAGCATTTTCTCGCTACTACACTAATAGTGTAGCTTGTTATTGGAAAAGCTATTGTCACACTACTGAAAAACTAATGTTAGCAGCATGTTTTACTTTTAGCTAGTTACTCTTCAACCTATGATACTAACATCATGTCAATGAGCTGTGCACCTCATGTGGGGATGGGAACATTTGACACAAGGTAACATGATGGATCTGATGGATTCCGGTTGGAAAAGACAACACAGCACTGGATCCATCCTGTCAGCTGTGAAGTGTTCCCATGGAATTGTAGTAACGGTTTGTGGTTTTCTCAAGGACCAGTGAGTGGGATGCCTGGAGAAGTTCTATGTGAATTTTGAAATCTGCACATGTCCATCATTCAGTCAGGTAGCAATGGAATTGTAGTAACGGTTTGTGGTTTTCTCAAGGACCAGTGAGTGGGATGCCTGGAGAAGTTCTATATGTGAATTTTGAAATCTGCACATGTCCATCATTCAGTCAGGTAGCAATGTGCCGTCTCATCATAGCAGCGCACCCCTGCACTGGTCCATGATGGGCTCCTGGCAGTCATTTTGAGCTATGGATCCACCATTTTCAAATGGGATGGAATTATGGGTTGCCATTCAGGATGCATGGACAGCAAAACCTGGAGCACATCTCTGGTATCCCGCGGATATGTCGAGGACTGGACTACACTAAATTAATGTATTTAATAAAATAATGTTTTAATAAAATGTTTTTTATTTTATTTTATAATGTAACTGTTTAATAAAAGCTCAAATTCATGCTATTTTGTAAATATAGAAAGCAGATAGTGACTATATAGCGATTATGTTCACATACAGCACAGCTTATGATAGGTTTCTTAAATGATATCATAATTAAGCAGTGTGTACTTATTCAGATGATTTATGTTCCATTAGACACCATTTGGACACAAGTTTCATCCAAAGTGACTTACAATATACTGCCAGCAGGGCCAGACGCCCCCAAAGCACTCTGGGGAAAAATTCTCATTTGAAAAAAGCCAGAATGATTTCACAAGGGTGAAAAATGTGCTCATGCTATCATAACTGAACTGTGAGAATCCCATAAGGACAGGTGTGGTGGATTCAAGCCTGGTGTTTATGAATTTACAACACAGAGGGGAGTTTGACTGAGGGAAGGAATTGAAGACAGATGGGACAGATGATACACTACTTGATTCCACACATATCAATGTTGTAGTGTTTACTGTTTCAGAGGGAGTCAATCTGGCTGGAACAGATGTCCCAGGGAGAGCAAAATCACTGCACAAGGGCTATTTGTTTTTAATAACTGGTTCAAATATCATGACGCGAGTGTTCCTGAATTTAAAGTGGTAGCACTTTACAATACAGAGTCCAATGTGTACAAAATGATCAGAATTTTACCAGTAAATGACTGTAAAAATGCTCTGGTAAAAACTTGCTAATTAGTTAATAGTGGGTTCCTTTATGCAATACAGTATAAAATTGATATAGATTTAATTGAATTTGGATTTAATGTAATTTTACTGGAAGATACCATTAAATGTACAATTTTTGGAAGTGAAAAGAAAACCTTTAAATTGACATTGCCAGATTTAAATGTGTGACACATGACATTTGATGGTTTTTCATTTAAATAATTATGTTTCGTATTAGTTTTTTTCTTATCAGTTATGTACATTAGGGTTTTATGTTACATTTTATTTCGTTAAATTAATATTTATTGCAGTATTTTAGCATCATGTTTGTTACCATAATGGTGTTTTGAAAAAAAAAAAAAGATTTTATGTAGTATATTTAATTATTTCAGTTAGTTTCGGGTAACTCACCATCATGTTGTTCCAAATCTGTATGACTTTCTTTCTTCTGCAAAACATATGTGCAAAATAAGATGTTTTTTGAAGAATGTTTCAGCTGTTTTGTCCATTATAAAGTCAGTGGGGCTCAAAACAGCATTTGGCACTAATTAACTTTCACTGTTCGGACAAAATCACTGAGACAAAAAAAAAAAGTTCATACAGCTTTAAAAAGACAAGAGGGTGAGTAAATATATATATATAAAAAATTATTTTTTTCCCCCTTTAATAATATAATGTATATAGATGTACAAGTTTAATTAAATGATGCTTAAAATATTTTAAAATTATGCTTAATAAATCGATGGAAGCAGAAATGAATCACGATTAAAATATTATTTATCATGCAGCCCTATCTGAACTGAACCAAGACTGAACTGATGTTTATCATTGTGAGGCTCCACAATCTGTATTGTATAAAGCACTGTAGAATTAAAGGTGACTTTACTTAATTTGTTTAATTGAATTAAAAAGCGAAAATGGTGATGAAAAACTAAATTCTGTCCATTTGTGGTGCAAAAAACCTCGACTAAGTGGACATAAGATAAAAAAATAGCATAATAAAAATGTATGATATGACCCCAGAACAGATGTGCATGTTAAAAAGACATCATGCACTCTCTCTCTCTCACACACACACACACACACACACACACACACACACACACACACATATTGAGTACCACCAGAGCAGGTAGGGGTAACGCTGTGTCCTCTACAAGGTATTTATCATGCAGATCAGTACAGCAGCCAGTAATGAGAGCATTCATATTCTACAGCAGGAGGACAGGACACCTTATTTAGCCAGAACTAGACAGACACATTATTTAATTTGCATCCGCCCCGTTCCATGTCTCCTTTATCTGTTTTCTTGGTATTATTTTCTCCTGTACACACACAATGTCTGAAAGAGAAATCTCTCCTACCTGAGGGTACAGAGGCGGGGTTGAAGGGGGTGAACAGTTCGGATGGAGTCTGGTGGGCCAGCGTGGGGTCCAGAGTATTAGCTGGAGATGCTGGGGTCTGTGGAAGAGGAAAGCAGTCTAAACAGAAGCTTTATAATAAACTACATTTGCTCAACAACTTGCTCAACTGTATTCTAAATAACATACTGATTACATTCAAAAATTCTGTCATCATTTATTCACCCTCAAGTTGTTCCAAACATGTATAAGTGTCTGTTGAACATAAAAGAAGATATTTTGAATAATATGGGTAACCAAACAGTTGATGGTCCCTACTTGACTTCTATAGTATGGAAGAAAAAAAATACAATGGAAGTCAATGGGGACCATGAACTGTTTAGTTTCAAACATTCTTCAAAATGTCTTCTTTTGTTTTCAGCAAAATAAAGAAATTCATACAGGTTTGAAGCAACTTGAGGGTGAGTAAATGATGGCAGAATTTTCGTTTTTGGGTGAACTATCCTTTAATTAGAATGCAGTATACACTGCAATATGCGATATGATAAAATTCCATTCTGAACATACTCTTACTATAATATTTTAGCATCTAGAGTCACTCACCGAGGGGGACGTGATATCAGGAGGGGTGGACATGTCTCCAAAAAGCTCTAACTGGTTGATATTCTGCAGATGAAAGAAGAACATTTACCAGCATAAAATCAGCCGTTTTTCACCTCAGCACTCACTGCCATGTCAGTCTAATCTTTGTCACAGAATAGTGAACCTACCTTGGGCAAACAGTGGTTTGAATAAGGTGACTTGAATAATAAATGATAGTGAGATAAGTAATAAATTATAAAAGTTACATAAATGATAGCGAGTTGCTATAAAATGATGTAAAAACACAAATGATGATGATGATGATTCCTGTACCTACCAGCTATGTACAGCACACATCTATCTATCTATCTATCTATCTATCTATCCATCCATCCATCCATCCATCCATCCATCCATCTGTTTTGCTCCTCAGGCAGACAGTCGGCTCAGTTCCACAAACCATTTCAGGCCTTTCCATACAGGACCATGGATTTGCATAAAATCACACCGTGAGCTAATTTCTAGGACGATAATGAATTAATTTCCTTGGGATATATTTTGTATTCAGGGTTATTTCTGAACAGGGGCATACCAATCCCACAGGAAATTTTTCTGATTTTTGTGGCCAAAAATTACTGAATTTGCTGCAGCTTATTATTATTATTATTTATTTATTTTTTTGCAGTGAAAACCACCATAAATCATGATGTACTTATCAGATTGTACTGAGGTAACCAGTGGGCAGAGGCTTCTTCTTGCTGTTAAAGGCCCCAAAACATGTAATTTCAAACAAAATCAGGCCAAAATGAACTTTGTTTGTAGTTCGCTTCTGTTTGTAATTCGAATTGCAGAGCTGGTGCAAACATTTGCACGTCGCTACATGATCAGACGCTTTCTTAACTGCTGTTTTCTCACCGCTGTCATTTTTGTAGTGTATTTATTTTGTCATTGAGAGGAAAGTGTGCAGCACATGTTTACATACTCATCTGAACGCTGCACCCGACGGCATGGGCACGTTGGGATGTTGGCTAACAGTATATCGCTGCTCAGGTATTTCAAACTTCTTTTTACTTCTTTTTAATGAGTATTATGGGCCTAAAGCAGACATTTTTCATACTTAAAAAAAAAAATTATGATTATTTCACAAGTGGTTGGAGGGCAAATGCCTTAAAGACGAAGAGGACAGTTACAACGGTCGCTACACCTATTTTCATTTGTGGTACCGTGTCCTTGTTGAGTCTGTTTATCAGAACCTGGAACAGACAGTGTGCTGCTAGTGGGGAGCAGCTGAGCATTTTTGAGCTCTTTAAAGTGACTGGCACATGACAGAAAAGCTTTTCTACACTGCTTCTAAAAAGCCTTTCGTACATCCATTTGCTTGAGGCCAGACCACAGGGTTCTTTCCTAAAAAGCTCTCTTTTTTCACACCCACATCTACAAAAGGGCTAAAACACATTCTTTATGAAAGAATAATCGCGGGCTCTTCTCTGACGTTATGCTGGCATTTAATGTCTCCGCTCGTATGTCTCTAATCTAAAAAAAATTTAAAAACAGCACACACAAGAACACGACTATGTGCGCGACATTTGAAAGCACTGTAAAATCTTGTGCACATGGTCACATGGGGAGAAGGGCAAGAGGACATTTCTCCAGTTTATTTATGAACCACACGGTTAGCATGGGAACACAAAATCCAACCTATTCAACACGGTCAGACTGGGGTCATCTATAAGAACTCTGTCATTTGACTATGCTATCTATCTATCTATCTATCTATCTATCTATCTATCTATCCATCCATCCATCCATCCATCCATCCATCCATCTGTTTTGCTCCTCAGGCAGACAGTCGGCTCAGTTCCACAAACCATTGCAGGCCTTTCCATACAGGACCATGGATTTGCATAAAATCACACCATGAGCTAATTTCTAGGACGATAATGAATTAATTTCCTTGGGATATATTTTGTATTCAGGGTTATTTCTGAACAGGGGCATACCAATCCCACAGGAAATTTTTCTGATTTTTGTGGCCAAAAATTACTGAATTTGCTGCAGCTTATTATTATTATTATTTATTTATTTTTTTGCAGTGAAAACCACCATAAATCATGATGTACTTATCAGATTGTACTGAGGTAACCAGTGGGCAGAGGCTTCTTCTTGCTGTTAAAGGCCCCAAAATGTAATTTCAAACAAAATCAGGCCAAAATGAAGTTTGTTTGTAGTTCGCTTCTGTTTGTAGTTCGAATTGCAGAGCTGGTGCAAACATTTGCACGTCGCTACATGATCAGACGCTTTCTTAACTGCTGTTTTCTCACCGCTGTCATTTTTGTAGTGTATTTATTTTGTCATTGAGAGGAAAGTGTGCAGCACATGTTTACATACTCATCTGAACGCTGCACCCGACGGCATGGGCACGTTGGGATGTTGGCTAACAGTATATCGCTGCTCAGGTATTTCAAACTTCTTTTTACTTCTTTTTAATGAGTATTATGGGCCTAAAGCAGACATTTTTCATACTTAAAAAAAAAAATTATGATTATTTCACAAGTGGTTGGAGGGCAAATGCCTTAAAGACGAAGAGGACAGTTACAACGGTCGCTACACCTATTTTCATTTGTGGTACCGTGTCCTTGTTGAGTCTGTTTATCAGAACCTGGAACAGACAGTGTGCTGCTAGTGGGGAGCAGCTGAGCATTTTTGAGCTCTTTAAAGTGACTGGCACATGACAGAAAAGCTTTTCTACACTGCTTCTAAAAAGCCTTTCGTACATCCATTTGCTTGAGGCCAGACCACAGGGTTCTTTCCTAAAAAGCTCTCTTTTTTCACACCCACATCTACAAAAGGGCTAAAACACATTCTTTATGAAAGAATAATCGCGGGCTCTTCTCTGACGTTATGCTGGCATTTAATGTCTCCGCTCGTATGTCTCTAATCTAAAAAAAATTTAAAAACAGCACACACAAGAACACGACTATGTGCGCGACATTTGAAAGCACTGTAAAATCTTGTGCACATGGTCACATGGGGAGAAGGGCAAGAGGACATTTCTCCAGTTTATTTATGAACCACACGGTTAGCATGGGAACACAAAATCCAACCTATTCAACACGGTCAGACTGGGGTCATCTATAAGAACTCTGTCATTTGACTATGAAAAAGAAAGGTCAGGTATGAGTAAGTAGACTACTTCCAGCAGACTAGTGGAAAAGGTACAATGCATGAGACGAGGGATTTAGCAGAGCTATAAACTGTTCATAGTGACATAGTGACATTTACTTTCCCGTACAGGGACTCTCCTGGAGTCTAGAATGGGCCATAGTGCATTACTTATTACTTTATAGCTAGATTACAGCTAGAGGAATTTTCTAGTACATTTACATTTACAGGATCATGGGAAGGCCAAGGGGGGGTGTGAAGAAACTTCAGCCAATCACTGTCCACCTTACCTGGGTGACCAGCAACAGGTCAGTGTCTAGATCCAAGAGATTGACTTGTTCGTTATGTTTGTTCTGCAATGATAACATGGTGTTAGATGAAAGATGAGATGGGACACACAGAAAATGAGGTAAAATGAGGTCTGTTTTGGAATGGTGAATGTGAGTAAATGGGTTGGATGGTACTTTACCTGTGCAGGTGAGGTTACACCTCACTATTAATTCATGCCTTTTTTTTCCATTTTAGCACATTATGTCTCAAGTGTGCAACAGGTTTGAGCCAAACACAAAACTGTATTTATTTTCACTAACTCACATCCCACCCCATACTCATAAACTGTAACTGGTGGAAGGCGGAATACATTTTAACCAGCTGTCAGTAGGCTTTAATGGGAAAATAATGTGCTCAAATGGGCATCCCTTGAGATAACATGGGAAGAGCAAAACACCATGAACAACAGCTGCTCCTGTCTTACATTATGTGCTGCCGAAAAAGCAACATAGATGAGGAGAGGATCTTATATGAAAGGAGAGGATGGGTAAACCATGAATTTTATAAGAAAACCAAGATCCCTTTCTTCGAACATGGTTTACTTGGTTAGCCGGATAAAGTGTCATGCACACACACACACACACACACACACACACACACATGTTGTGTTTCCATGTTTTATGGGGACATTCCATAGGCGTAATGGTTTTTATACTGTACAAACTGTATGTGCTATTGCCCTACACCAACCCTACCCCTAAACCTACCCCTTACAGGAAACTTTGTGCATTTTTACTTTCTCAAAAAAACTCATTCTGTATGATTTATATGCTTGTTTCCTCATGGGGACCTAAAAAATGTCCTCACAAGGTCAAAATTTACTAGTATTACTATCCTTGTGGGGACATTTGGTCCCCATAACGTGATAAATACCAGGTACACACACACACACATTCACTTGGTGCCCTTGATTGGAAGTATATTTTTTGATAACACTTTACAATAAGGATCTATTTGTCAACATTAGCTAACTACATTACTTATAAATAAATAAATAAATAAATAATCTTTGTCACTGATAATTTCAACATTTACTCATACTAGTGTTATTGCACTATTATTGATTTACAATTACAGTTTTTAATATTTTAATTATTTTGAATGTATTTTTACTGTATATTTTCTGTTTTCAATTTAATTTAGTAATAGTAGTTGTAAAAGTTTTGTTGTATTTTTTGTTTGTATTTTTTTTCAGTTAATGTTTACTTTATTAACAAAACAGTATGGTTTTAGTTTTAGTCATTATTACAGTTTTAGGCCCTGTCTAATACATTTTTTTAAATAAAAAGTTGTATATATTAATAATATATATATATATATATATATGTGTGTGTGTGTGTGTGTATTTTAATCAGTCAGTTGCAGCTAACACATTAGTTAATGCATTAACATTAACTAATGGGACCTTATTGTAAAGTGTTATAATTTTTTTAAGGTGTAAAACATGATACAGTATATAAATGTCATTACAATGGGGACCAAGGGGGCCCATTTTAAAAACCCAACTTAATATAAAAACAATAAAAAATATAATATAATTTAATAAAAAATACTATAAAACTATAAAATAACTATAAAATACAGGAAAACAAATATGATCATTTTCAGTTTAAAGTGCATGATGTGCTAAAGGTGTTACTCGATTGGCAGACATTCACATTGATTTCTGTCACAAAAGAAATCACCCAGGCGTCTCATGTTATGCCGAAAGTTATCCGGCTAACCAAGTAAGACCACAATTAACACTGACAACATAATATACATACAACATCTAGACTAACAGAAAAACATACAAACAAAAAATAAAAAAAACACATACATGTAAAACATGCAATAAAATCAAGCAAGAGCTGACACCAGGTCAGTGGCTTGGTTTGGAGAAGCAGGTGACACTTGAGATGGTGAAGTCTGAAAGCCTCTCTGAATTAGCGCTAGCTGTTTCAGTGTTAGCGCTTATCTTTAAGAATGAAAGGATGTTAACGGGAGGCATCTGAGAAAGGTAAGCAGAAATAAGCCAATGCTAGTGACATCTTATATCTACTAATTTTGTGAAAATGACTGAAATGACAATCATGAAGGAAAGCAGAGGAGATGTGATAGAGAGGGAAAGAGAGAAACCAGTTTTGGATTGTGTAGCTTTCTTCACTTGAAGACCACGACAATCAGTTCAGCTGTCTAACATTGAAGCAGCAACACTATTAAACACCTCATTCATAAAACATGAGCAGAACTAATTTCAGTGTTCAGAATGATGCAACAATCTACGTTTACAAACAATTTGGACTCAAATTTGTTCCGCTTGTGTTTCATGAAGAAGAAAAAACTAAAATTTTGATTTGTTCCTGTCATGTTTTCAGGGTGATGGTGTTCGTCTCACTTTGTTTGATTTTGAAGGTCATTGAGCTGAAACCAGCGTTTTATACTGCAGCCAGTAGCTGAATTAAACGGCTGTAATATTACCGACCCAAGAGATGCCATCAAATCAATCTCTTTACGCACCCTTGGGGATCACCATTGAGGATAATGGGAAAGATGACAGCTGGGCCCCATAGTGATGAACTGTGTCAGTCAAAGCATCCTGCATGCTGCTGACACCTTATTACTGATGGATATCATGAGTGCTGATAACCACCTTCTTATCTGTTATTATAACAAGCTGCCTCTCATGTGGAAGTATGACTCACATGATGCATTGTAATTCCATAACTGAAATTACAGTATTTACACTAAACTGTCTCCATGGCAACATTTAGAACAATGCTGAGGGTAAACATTAGTATTTTATGCAAATGCATGAGTATCTGGCTTATTTTGCCACAATCCATCAGTCTACTTTTCTATCACCATTATCACTTCAAACGACTATCAAATAACCGTACCCTCGGAGATAATAATCATCTTCGCAGTGTCCTGTGCGCTTTTAGTGTTGCCCATTTCATTACGGCCGGAGTGTTAATGTCTTGTGCTCTGACTGATCATATAGCCACAGGCACGAGACTAACTGGGAAGCACAGCTATGAAATTAAATAATACATGGAGAGGTAGTAGAAAAAAGAACAACACTAATGAGTTATTTAAAGCAATGCTTCAGCATAAATACTCTTTATCAACAAATAACTTCTTAAGCAGCCAGACATATAATGGAGGGAATTCAATAAGAATAAATAGCGCCCACTGAGAGTGTCGTTTATTTGCACATGCTTTGTTTTAGCGCAAATTTGTTCAAAGGAAATATGCAAATTAATGCGCAAACAAGCACAGAAAATGTATGCTAAATGTAGTTTGCATGATACTGTTGCCAATTTCTGTTGTAAAGGCTGCAAAACGAAAAACAAAACAGAATAAAACAAAACAAAAACAAGACAAAAAAAACCCCCCAGAATAAAACAAAACAAAACATTAAAAACACAACACAAAAATGAGTCAAAACCAAACAAGAATAAAAAGAGAATAAAACAAAACAAAACAAAACAAAACAAAACAAAACACAAAAAACAGAAATCAAACACAATAAAAAAATAAAATAAAAAACAACACAAAAACAAGACAAAACAACACAAAACAAAAAAACTCGACAAGACAAGACGAAACAAAATATTAAAAACAACAACAACACAAAAAAACAACAAAACAAAAATAAATGAATGGCTAATTTCCACTCTTTTTCATTATTTGATCATTATTTAATAATAACTCCTTCCATCATTGGTAGTAAATGCACACAAGTGTCTATTTTATAAAAAAAACTGCTTTCTGGAATTTTAATAATTAATTTCACAACATAGCCCACAATGGTAAGCAAATATTGCTTTTTTATTTTTGTTTTGTTAATAAAACTGGGCATTACACAATATACGATTAGTTTTTATAGAACAGTATGCTTGAGCTAAAAAGAATGGCAATGACAATAGCAGAGCAACTGTTTAGTGGATTTGCATCATAATGTGTGGCTAAAAAGAAACAAAAAATAGTAGAAGTGCATTTAAAAATAATTCAGAAAAATAAACTCGGATCCACAATGTGTGTGCAGATGCACAATACAAAACAGATTTACAGCGGTTCAAAAGCCAATTCTGTAGAGCCGAGGGAGTTATTTTATGAGTTAAAGCTGTGTGGATTTTGCTTAGACAGGAATGAAAAAGCTGGGGAAGGCAGGATCAAGAGGCCAGACGACTTGGATTGAAATAGGAGAGAGGAAGAAGGCTGAAAATGTGTGTGAGGAAGAGAGAAAAGAGTGAGTAGGTGTTTGAAAACATGATGGAATAGGCGAGAGGAAGAGATGCCAGACAGTGGCACAAGGTGATATGTGGGGTTGAGATGAGGAAAAGTGAACTAAAACATTATTTTCCAGGTCTGGAGAGACCTAAACAACTGAACACTGAGGACAGACTCAACCAACTTCAGGGACTTTGCTGGGGTTGTATGTGTTGTGATGGTGGGTGTATTTAGCTGAGCTAAGACTGAAAGAACAGAGCAGCTATAACACAAGAGAGGTACAGACAGCAGGAACACTGACCTGAACATGAAAAGATCAGCCATTTTTACATATCAGTATGTAAATGTTGAAGCCAAAAGGCCTGACAAGCAATCGGCCACCATTTAAAGAGAGAGAGCAAAATTCACTAGCATAATCTCAGTACAATCACAGATGCATGAGCACAAATCAAACATTCATGTTTGCTGTCTCTCATTTAAATGACTTTATCAGCCAACCCATATAAGCTACACAGATGTTTCATCTCTTATTGTAGATCATGCATGATTAATGGGCATTCATGGTGTGGCAATGAAGGGAAAGTTCACTGAAAATTAAAGTGTTGTTTCAAACTTCAATGACTTTAATTCTTCAATGGAACACAAATGGGAAAAAATATATATGTCCGGAGTTGCTCTTTTAGCATAATCTCAGTACAATCACAGATGCATGAGCACAAATCAAACATTCATGTTTGCTGTCTCTCATTTAAATGACTTTATCAGCCAACCCATATAAGCTACACAGATGTTTCATCTTTTATTGTAGATCATGCATGATTAATGGGCATTCATGGTGTGGCAATGAAGGGAAAGTTCACTGAAAATTAAAGTTCTGTCATGTTGTTTCAAACTTCAGTGACTTTAATTCTTCAATGGAACACAAATGGGAAAAAATATATATGTCCGGAGTTGCTCTTTTCAATACTAGTATCTTCAAAATACCATAAAAATGAAAAGATTTTTCTAAGAAAATAAGATTGTTGAAGTACATTTTGCAAGAAAATACTATTCCAGGTTTTCTACTTCAAAATGTAACATTTAATTCAATGGTACTTGCAGTTTCTTTGTAATTGTTTGTGAATTTTACTAGCAATTTCTGAGAGAAAATTGTTTCTATATAAATGTTTGTTTCAGTGTATGACTTGTGTTGTATATTCAGGGGTTTCAGTGAATACTGACTTACATTTCTGCCTGTTTGTCACACAAAACTCATATCATAATCATATGATATTATTTGTGAATCATATGGACCATTTTATGGTGCTTTTATGTTGTTTTTAAAGCTTGAAAGCTTCAGACTCACTGACAGTCATTGTAACTGCATGAAAAAGAGAAAGTATATTCTTTAAAATCTCAGTATTCCATGGAAGAAATAAAGTCATACAGGTTTAGAATTACATATGGGTAAGTATGAGAGTTTTCATTTTAGGTGAACTAACTTGATTCACAAGGCTGGAATGCCATCAGCTGTCCTTATCATGGGGTGAAGACAAGCGTACATCATGCAAAACCGACCAATCACGTAATGCCCACAACCCAAACAACTAGATTTTCACAAAGAAAATGATCAGCCGTCAAGAAACAAACACAAACATATACACAACCAGCCAAAAACACACAAACACCAGGGGAAAATGAAGAGTGCACAGTCTATGCGATTTACTGTAAGCCGGGGAACGAGTGCTGCTGAACTCCTCACAAGACTCGAGACAGGGAGAGAGACATGCTTGATGCTTGGTGGTTTACATACTGTATTGAACGGTTTGCCAGAGAGAGGCACAGGATAGTCACATAAACAAACACACACAGGTCCACTCACTGGATGTCGCTTTGGGACGTCATAAACTCCCTCCTTTTGTTGGCTGGTAGGGACCTGGTGTGGACAGGGAGCCCAGCCAAATGCACAGTTAACATGACAAGTTATCATTAGTTCAGATTTCAGCAGGAGATTTTACAAGGTCAATGCAGAATGCAAATTTTATGCTTCCTGGAGAGCAAAATGAGTCATTGTCTGTGTATAATGTGTTGTGTTTTAATTAATAATGAAATGCAAGATGCAAATAGTAGAAATTTAATTTAGCTTGAATGATCATTTCTTTATGATAAATGTTTTATTTATAACAAAGCAAATATTTATAATACATATTTTAGATAAAGCTAAAAATGTATTTTATTTTATATTTTATTGCGGATTTCTCAATTCATATAATCTGGTACCATCATTTTCATCTTCACAATACACGGTATTAAAGATGCCGATCCTTTCATTCTCTGTTATTTCAATGTCTTCTCTCTCTCTAATTTGCCATTGTTCTTAATTTCCCTCTTGCTGAGAGACTGATTACCGCTGTGTTTTTATTTGATCGTACACTTGAAGTGATCTTTCCATTTCTTTTATTCAAAGATCAAACAGTGACAGCAATGATTAATCATTCTCACGCTTTCATTTGGAGAAAGGGCAGAGGAGAGACCTGCTGCTTCCTCTCACAGCAGAGTAATTTCTCTATGCAGACCTTGGAAAGCTCCCTACACTCAGCATCAATCCTTCAGTCATGCTATGCAAAGTTTGCCAGAACCAAAGCCACTCAGGATCCAAGGGGCCCGCTGGAGGTCAAGGTTACTTTTGCTGCATACTGTTACCTTTGGTTAATGAGCTTATCTAGCTATGAGATGCTGTATTGTGTTATTTTATGAGGTTTAGAGACATATAAATATATCTCTTGTTCTGTTCGTTTAGGCTTCCCTAGTTCATCGCTGTTATCAAATATCAAAAGTGATGTTCACGCAGATTCAATTTGACTGGGCCAATCTGGCTTTTTGATTGATATGAGATGCGATCAGGTGTTAGCTGATCCTGGTTTTAAAGATGTGACAGCAAGCAGATGCCTCTTTCATGCTCCCGAGTTTCCGATATCTGTCCTGATGTCAGCAACAAGTGCAGGAGTTTGTGATGTGTCAGGTTAGCAGCGCTCAAGAGCTGTGCACACATTTGAATAGTTAGAAGGTATAATTCGGTCCCTAATGGCGTTTCAAGCTTTCAAAGAGCTACTAAACTGACTGGGACGTTAAGTCAGATATGGATAAAGTTGTGGAGGAGACAGACTGGAAAAGTGTTGGTGGCACTGATGTGTTTATTGTTTTGCTGGGCAGTGTCTCTTTTTGATTCAAGCCACAGGTGACAAAACAAAGCAGCACCTGGGGATACAACACCTGCTGTTGTCATGGTCATGGCGCCTGGAGCACGAAACATTGCTGGGTGTAAATCTTTGAAAGGGCCGTCATGCTGAATTAGTGTGGCTTGGTGTAGCACTCTGTTCTAATTCACAGGTGGGACTCTGGCAGCTACACAGTGGAGCTGTCAGCAGCTGCACCATCAAAACCTGGGATTCTTCTAAAGTCTTATCTAAAGAAGAATGGCGGTTTATTTAGAGGCTCCCTATTGGCTGTTTGTTATCAAAACCGGTCCTTGATAGCTTTTAATGATATAGGTGTATGTTTTATGTATAAGGTTTATCAAACTGACAGATTGTATTGTGTGGTGGACAACAACCGATTTCAACACTCCCTAAAAAATCACCGTAAATGGTTTTTCAAAGTTGTAAATAAAACAAAGATTATTGGAGTATATTTTACAAGAAAATACTATTTCAGTCTTTCTACTTCAAAATGTAAAGTTTAATTCAATGTGTTACTTGCTTTTTTTGTGTGAAATTTACTAACAATTTCATAATTGTGTCATAATTGTTTAAAAGAAAATCCTACACCAAGTTTTCAAACAAGGGAATAATCTGAAATATCAATCAGATGAAGTAATCCTTGAAAATGTTTTTACTTTTTGTAATTGCAAAAATAGAGTATTTATGAGAGACTTCATTTATTTATTTATTTATTTAAGTGCTTTGGGCAGAACTTGTAAAATAAGTATTTGACGATATTAATATATTATATTAGCATACATTATATTGAAATATTATTACAAAAATATTATAATATAACATTATAATAATTTATGAAAAACATTTTATGAATTAATTGTTAACCTTTTGATTTAATTAGTCTATTTTCATACTTACAAGAAAAAACTTTTCCACATTTTTTAAGAATATTTTTTAACTCTTAAATTATAAAATCCCCTTTTATAGCTTAAAAAACGTCCAATTCTCCGAACTAAAATGCTGTCACATTTTCAAATCCCCCATAAACATAATTTTATCTAGAACTATATTAATAAAAACTAAATTGTTACTACTGGTGAATGTCTTTTATAGTTTTCATTGCACACTAATAGTGATTATCAGTAAAAAGTACCTTTATTAAGAACATTATTATGATTTGGTAGTGTACCTGATATATGCTCTCCTCTGATTGGTCACGGATGGGCTCGTGTCCCGCCTCAAATACAATGTACTACAACATCGGCAGCAGAGGAAGATAAAAAGGCAAAGGGACAGGAAAAAGGTGAGTGTGAAAAGAAAAGAGAAAAGGAAGAAGATCACATAGAATCAAAAGCGGCCCCAGGAGCAGCGCAGTGACCCTCGCAACAATGAGGGACTAAACGAAGCTGTGACATGGTTACCATCTTGACCTTTAGCAACATGCACTGGCCTAGCAAAGCATTATGGTCACTTTAGGTCATCTTTCACTGCAACTACAACTTCCGTACAGAGAATAATAAAAAACCTTTCGGAGGGAAGAATTATTAGGTGTTCTTTCTAACCTATGCCTCATGCATATATTCAGTCTTTAAAAATGTTTCCTGTGTATCTGTACCCCTTTTTCTGTACCTGCAAACAGGGCGATGGAATGAATTTTACAACATTAAAGAGAAATAAATCACAGTGTAAAACACAATGCTGCATGTTTCTTTAATGAGGCATGCTAATGTTAGCTTAGCAGGGGTAACAAAACTTTCCCAGTGTTGGTTTGCATTTGAAAAGCTAGCCACTGAGCTTTAAGACTATTTTTTTAAATGGCAGAACCATTAAAACCCATATCTGTTATATATTCCTCAATAACACACATGGACCACACAGAGAAGAAAGCGATTTTTGGCAAGCAGCATTCAAGCTAATCTCTAACTCCTGTCTTTTCACGACCACATTTGCACTAATAGCAGAATCGTCTCCATTTTCTGTGACATTAGATCTAATGGCTTAGCCGTTCCCATTTACAACGTACTGTCACCATTGGCTGATTCATTTTGTTACACAGTTAGCCATTGGCTAATTCTTCTCCTCTCCAGCCCTCTTAACAGCAAATTGTTAATGCTTATCAGGTCTGCGCAACTTTTAGTAATGACTGAATCTTAAGCTAACTGCTAGGCCTAGAAGCAACGTTTCTTTGTTACTAAAGGCTAATGGACATCCAGGCTTGCTATTTAAAGATACACTCCAATCAAATACATTCCATTCCATATTCATTCCCATTATGATGCACAACGGACAATACGGAAAGTCAATGTAATGCATGTAAACACACACACACACACACACACACACACACACAAGCAGCCCAGATGAGATGTGTTAAAGCTGTCTGTTTTCAGTACAAAATTAAGGAGGCTCCCAGAATCACTATTGCATCAGAGTCTTACACCCAATTTATGAAAAGAAAAGGTTAACAACACATCACAGCGATGATTCACCGTTTATTTCTATATACAAATGACGAAATACCAGGTCTTATTAATTCAGGAGGAGTGAGAAGAGAGAGAATGGAGAGGAATTATTTATTTATGTAAATGAGATTAAACGCATATTATTGAACAGGGAGCCCTGTTTAAAGTGACAGTGAGAGGCACACTAATTTGACAGCGTACTTTCAGGCAGACATAATGATTAACATTTTATTTCAAAGCTTTACCTGATACACGGGATCCTCCACATCTTCCTCCAAAATGGTCTGCAGGAGTGATCGCACAGAGAGAGGGTGATTGGAGGAAGGAGAGTAGAGAAAGAGGGAAACGGGAGAGAAGATGACGACGAGAAAAAGCAGCCAATTTTTGGTCATTCATGTCAAAACAGAGCAAAAGCATTTTTGACATCAGACAGTGAGAACAGGAACACAAATGTAGGTTTTGTCTCAATTGAAAAAGCAGTGGGAAGCAAATCACCCTTCAGAAATGCACCTGAGATTCAACAGACAGAGAAACGGGAAAGAGCTGCCAGGTGCTTGGTGCACACTATATGATTTTGCCTACTAATGTAATGTTAATATTGATGTAATAATTAATATTAGATGTAATATTTAATACACACATAGTATGACACATATATATATATACAGTGGGTACGGAAAGTATTCAGACCCCCTTAAATTTTTCACTCTTTGTTATATTGCAGCCATTTGCTAAAATCATTTAAGTTAATTTTTTTTCCTCATTAATGTACACACAGCACCCCATATTGACAGAAAAACACAGAATTGTTGACATTTTTGCAGATTTATTAAAAAAGGAAAACTGAAATATGGGTGTGTATACTTTCCGTACCCACTGTATATATATATATATATATATATATATATATATACACTATAAATGTGGTATGGTGTATGTATTTATAAATGCTACTAAATACTATGACAGTTGTTGTATAAAAATTGGATTTTGATTTAAAATAAATTCATTTAAAAATAATGTCAAATTAATTAATACATTAATATAAACTAATATAAATAAATAGTAATAAAATAATTGAAATACTATAAAATATAATAAATCATTTTGCAAAATATATTTACTGTATCAGTATAGAAATGTAATAAATATTACTATGCTATTAATTATTATAAACTATTTGTGACATCAGTGTGCACCCGGCCTCATGTAAATATAATTCTCTGAGATAAATAATAAATAAGCCCTCTCGGAAATGTGTTGTTTTCTGTATTTTCATCCTTTTGTATTGCATATTTCATTATTCCCTTTGGAGTTTGTTGTTGTTTCTCTTTTACACTGCTCTCATTCGCCGGCACACGTATATGCAGTTGTATTTATGACCGAGCATTAGAAACTGTAAATTCTCTTTGGGGTTTTGAGTTTATGCGAGTGTGAAGGTTTTCTGCGAGTGTGTTACCTGATAAACAGCTTGTTCGCACTGCTTGTCCTTCTGAGCTTTCTTCTCGATTTCTTCCCTCTGCTTAATCTCATAAATCAACTGGAAAAGGTCACGGAGGTCAAGGATCACAGGCTCAGCCTGGGAACACACGCAGAAACACAGGCAGAGAGTCACAGATTTATAGAGACAAAGAGGAAGAAGTGACATGATCTTCTCAATAAGGGTCCATATTGAAGATCCGCTGTATTTTCTGCACATTTCTTCAAGCAATTCAGAGCAAAAGACATAACAGAGTATCAGAGTATCTTGGAAAAGACATAATAAAGACCTCTTAACCTCTGCTTTGGCTGCTCTTAAATCTGCCATATGAGAGGTGACAGAAGAAAGTGCTTTCCATTTAAAAGGGCTGGGTCAGATCAAACTTCACTCTTTGTAGTTAGCATCAAAGCTCCATGTTAGCATTAAAAATGCATCTCCTGCCCAGCACAGCCTAAATGTCACTAATATCTATACTAAATAGATATTAATAAATACATCTGAAGCGAAAGTTTGTCCTCAAAATCCGCCTGGGGTATTTTTCTGCTGCCTGCTCCAGAAGACTCACACCAATGAAAAGCAATATGAGAAGATGTAAGAAAGAAAGAAAGAAAGATTGTTTACAGGAAAAGACATGAAGAAAGACATATATGATATAGTATAATTTCATCTTTCAGTAGTGTGGTATATGGGTGTTTCTTCAACTATTTGGCCCTGTTTACTTTTAGAAATGAAACACAGTTTTTTATTGATTATCTGTTGTATTTAATAGTATTTCTTGTTGGAAATGACATTGTAATAATTGGAATAAAATGGCCCAAAGGCTAAAAGCTTCCTAGATACACACGATTAAATAATATTTTCACACTTCATGCAAATTTGACAAAATAACAGCTTGATTGGAAATTAAGAACAATACAAATATTAGAAAATACTTTTTTGATTGTGGTGGAAATGAATAAGATAAGATAAGATAAGATAAGATAAGATAAGATAAGATATGTTTGTTTTAATTATAATCAAACCCTGGAACATACAGTTGTCCGAAAGTTTCAAGAAACACCCAAAAGCACCATGGTATTTGTATCTAATACATCACTCTACCACAGTATTGCCATAGTAAAAAGAGGAGAAAGCGGAGAAGGGCAAAAAGAGGTGAAATAGGAGAAGAGAGAGAGAGAGAAAAAAGAGAAATGTGAGATTGTGATAATTAATATACTGTATGAGAGCCATAACTGTGTCAAGAGTGAGTGAAAATAGTTTTCTGGTGGGATGGAGCACGCGCGCAGGAACATGCTGCCAAATTTTCTTATCTTTATGTGTTTGCTGGGTCACTTGTAGTTCAGAGCAAGAGAGCAATGGATGGGGGGAGGAGAGGACAGCAGATACTCATCGACCTGGTATGGAAATCAATTGAGCAACTGCCACAGAACTGCAGCACTGCAGACTAGAGCAATGCAACAACAAAGAACAGCAGCAGAAACAAACAACAACAGAGACAAAGACAGAAACAGAGTGAGGGAATGAACGCAAGACAGAGGCACAGAGATCAAGTCTTTCCAGAGGAGTGGAAGCTGTCATAGCAGCAAATACACTCACAGTTTTTGAAATATACTTTTGGACATATAGCGTATGTACAACACACATATACACAGTCCAATTTTTTACCCTTTTCACGGATAAGTACTTACAGACTGAGCCGTTTTGATAGCCACAAACCGATGGTTTCCCTCTTTCCCACATACATAACCAAAGGCTCTGTGGTCCGTGATATCTTTCGCAATGTAAGAAATCTCATGAACTGCATGGTGGTGCTGAAGAACCTGTGGACAAAAAACAAAAACACAAAATGCAAATGTGAGTAACACAACCAGGCAATTTTTTTAAAATTTTTGTAACAGACTATAATAAAGAAAATGACACCAAAATAAAGTAATAAAATTATAATAATAATGCTTTAGCTGAAAACATGCTGTTGTTCTAGCTCATATCATACTAAAAAAATAAATAAATATATAATTAAAAAATTAAAGCATTTGACTTTTTTTTTTTTTTACTGAAAAGCGAGACTTCCAATCATACATGCAGCCACCATATTAACTTTATTTTTTCTCCTTGTATTTACTTACAAATGGTCCACATTTATTGTTTTTTTCTTTTTTAATTATTTTTTTCTTTATTTAATTTCATTTCTTTTAAACTCCACAGCCTTCTTTTCTCAAGCATGATTTTTTTGGTGCCTACCTGATTTTTGCAACTGACGTAAATCAATTGAACTGACTTTTGTGGTCAACTGAACCCAGGTGTGCACCAAAACCTCTAGTGTTACAGCAACAAGGTTATACTTAGACATTTATTTTTGTTATTTGAGTTCAAACTTCATGCCTCCCTTTAAAAAGGACTCAAGCATGATTTTTTGGTGCCTACCTGAGTTCTGCAGCTGCCACTAATCAAACAAACTAAGCTTTATGGTCAACTGAACCCAGCTGTGCACCAAAACCTTTAGTTTGAAAGCAACAAAGTTATATCCAAACACAATTTAAATTAAAAAATCCAAGGACAGAGAACTTCAGAAACGGCCTTCAAACACCGAATGGACATGCAAACGAAGGGGGACATTAACCCAGAGAGGGGATCGGAGGTCAGAAAATAGGTCAAAATCTCGGAGCGAGTCATCCTTCAGGCTGATGGCTGAAACACCAGGGCTTCGGCACTAGTGTCAGCCTCCTGCTGCTGAAGAGCAATCATCTGCTGAAATCTACTGCAAGTGGCAATCTTCCCCTCACCACCCACTTCATCTAGAATCATTAAAACATCACTAACACAATACACACGCCACCCGGGGAAGGAGAGATGCACCCCCATGGGCCCCGCAGTTAACTCGAGAGTTGCAACAGTGGATGACATCTTATGACAACCCGTCTGACTGTGAGGTGCTATTTTCCCTGCTGAAACATAAAGTGTTGTCAGTGACGTTTTAAACAAACTTTGAGAAGGAGGTTCCTTTGTTAAAAAGTTTTGAATGAGGTTAATGGGCAGCTTTCATTATCAAACTAATATCATGTGCCCACGCAAAACTTAATGATTTCACACTTAAAACTGAACGCGTGGATTTTACATTTACATTTTTCAGAGGTGTGACAGCCCTTGTGAAAATGAAGTACACTTACATTTACACTTCAGCATACTTTTAAAAAGAGTACTTATAATATACTTGTGCAAAAGACTATACTTGTGCAAACTGAATGTAATGTTTCCGGGCACTTAATTGCATGTTATATACAATTACTGTAAATTAAAATGCATTATAGTTTAAATGTATAATAAATGTAATTAGTTGAACTTAAGTAGGAACTAATTAATTAAATGTACAACTTAATAATTCATTCTATTGTCTTTGAAATATAGTTAAAATGTACTGTCCAATGTACTGACAAGCATTTGTGGTAAACTAAATAATATATTTAATGCCATTTCTATTGAAATGTGTTTGTTTTGAATATATCTGTAATTACACAATTGTAAATGATTGTGCAATTTAGCTGATTTAAAGTATATTTACTTCAAATATCACAACACTACAGTTTAAAATATAATCAAGTACTTGTAATGTGGGGTTTGGGTTTTGTTTTTGTTTCATACTGTAAATAAACTGCACTTGGGTTCTTCACTACGCTCGCCTTCAGTAGATGATTCGTTACAGTACTTTACATGTGCTTTAGATGTTAGTCAACACATCAAGTGTACAACAAGTGTACTTATTTAAAGCATGGCAAAAGATTATTAAAACAATTATTTAAAATATATTTTAAAATAAAACGTATGCCCCCGGTTTCACAGACAAGGCTTAAGCCTAGTCTCAGACTAAAATGCATGTCTGGGCTGTTTCAACTGAAAGAAGCCTGTAGTGACATATCTTTAAATATGTCAGTGTTATTGATTTGTCTCAAGATGCTCACCAGTAATGTTTTATTCTAAGGTACATTTATAAAAGATACTTAAATGTCCTAATTGAACTGCGGCCTAATCCTGGCTTAACCTAAGCTCTGTCTGTGAAACCAAGCCTTAATATGACATTATTATGAAGCACACTCTACTTAATTACATTAAGAAAGTTATAAAAGTGTACCCTCTTTAAATACACTTAAGAGGCATTTTATTTAGTTAATTTTCTATTATTTGCAAATACAGTTATTTAAAAAAAAAACTTAATTTGAAGTACACTGAAAGTGAACATTCAATACAATACTACTTTTTCACAAGAGAGTAGCTTTGTTTTTTTTTAAAGTAGAGTAGCTTTTATCTTTCTAGTGGCATTCAGTTGATTTTAGATTGGTTTGCACGTTGGAATGAATTGGTTAAAAAAAAAAAGATTCACTGATTGATTTAATTCCCTGTGCTGGATATACGCCATATTTTTATTGTATCTCCTTCTCTGGTTTCATCAACGCTGGCTCATACTTTTTAGCTTTTTAATTTTTGGATACAGTTGTTTAACACAAAAAAGAAATTCCATTTCATTCATAATATAACTTGAAAGAAAATGTCTGGCGTCCCAGTGAATAAATGGTTTGTTTTCCAAGAATGCTGCTTGTAATACAAAATGAAACAGTCCCACCAACTGCAGACTTTAATCGTTCAAGTGCTTTTCTGGGTTTTAGATGCAAAATCTTTGGCACATAACTGTGTTTCCATTCCTTCTGGGCAGTTTAAAATTGGAAGCATAGAAAATCCTTGAAAGATTAATTACTTGTATGCCTATTCAATGCCAGCCTTCCTCTAACTAGTTCACAGAATGGAATGTTTGACGCGAGCTGGCGTAGCTTTTCTGTCATTCAAATCATCACAGCGGCCCTACGACCTCTGAGGTCATGCCACTGCACAGATAATGACACTGTTACCATGGTGATGATACACTGAGCATCACACTTCTAGGACCTTTGAGCTACAGAGGTCTGAAAGAGGACACATTACAAGAGGAACCATATACATGCTCTTCACGTGAAGGCTGTTCATTATTATTTTGCCTTTCAAGGTACAGGTACAAGGTAACGCATGAATTATTATGTTATCGAACTAAACATAATTGAATAAAATTGACTTAAAAATGATGGAGATATATAAAACTTTATTGTATCTATAGAAGCTAATCATTTTACTTTTATTGCAAAATATGCATAGTGGGTGGAGCTAAAGAGCTCATTTGGTGCACTTTGCGACTGGTGGAATTTTCTGTACAGCATCATGGGTAATGTAGTTTTTCTCCACCAATTTTGCTGTTAAACGTATATTTTAAGAATAAATTGAATTATTGATGGTGTAAGATTTGAAGAACCTCAGACACTTTGATCTTCTGAGATATGGACAATACACACACAGCGTATTAGCATACAGACATCCGTCTCGACATCTCATTGAGAGAAGATGTGGGAAAAGCTCCTTTTTTCACCTATCCTTTACATCCACTTCTTTCCCCTCACCCATCTCCCTTCACTCAGCTCACTCAGAATGGTCAATAGCATAATATAATGTGCTACATGAATGCAATATTCACAGTCATGCTTGGTATCATACGAATTGTCTCCGTGCGACTGGTACAATGGTATCAGTCTTACAAGAAGTAGACTAAAAGGTAATACAGATCCTAAGAGTTAAGAGATATTTTGCTCACTGTAGAGGGTGTGCCATTTCCCAGTGTCTTTCATGCAAATTACCATCTGTCCCCAAAAAGTGTAAACTATACTTGATCAATGCAAATTCCAATTGTTAGTTCCTGTCTCCATTTGGAGGATGTTTGTCTTGGAGTACTTAAGGAAATGTTGCAAGAAGATTGGCGTACTTCTGTAGCCAGATGAGCCCGTAGTGTGGAGTGTGTCCACACACTCTATACTATGTATTTTTCTGAAAGTCATCTTTAATCTTAAGCGTGATTAAAGGGCGCCAATGTGAGTGTGCACACCGATGCGAAAAACGCATTTAAAAAAAAAATTTTTTTTTGTTTTGATGCGCCACGTTAAAAACTTGCTGACCAATGAGATTGCCGCTTTTGTTCACGTGCCTAGAGCTGCTGAAGTTACATTAAAAAACGACTTGGTGGCGCTCAAGCACAAAACGGTCTTGCCGAGCACACATTGATACCTGACGACGAAGAGGAAGTAAGTAGACCAAGAAGCTGCATCGAGGCAAGATGAATGTAGAGCTGCTGGTCTCATTGGTGTCTGAACACAAAGGGCTTTATGACAAACGCGACAGCGACTACAAAAATCTCGATAAGAGGGAGTTGTTATGGAGAGGAATTGCAGATCAAATAGGATTCGATGTGTACCGAGGTATTTCTGTTTTTCATTAAGCGCCATCTAATGTCAGGGAGCGAATTTGCACGTTCACTCAGCTCATCGCCAGTGAAAATCGCTTGGGTATGAACACAAAAGACGCGTTGAAAAACACTGGCGATAAGCGCGCGCGATAATCGTCCCGGTGTGTACAAGGCTTTAGATTTATCTTTGAGAATTTGATGTCTTTGTATTGATTTGATTTGATTTGATATCTCTGAATTGATTAAGCAATTGGCATAATACATATTTACCTGAATGATAATAAATTGTTACATTTGAATTGATTCTGTTTACTCTGAAATTATTGATTCTAGTAGATTACGTTGTATCCTTGTTACCGCACTTCTGCGGATAATAAATTGTTACATTTGAATTGATTCTGTTTACTCTGAAATGATTGATTCTAGTAGATTACGTTGTATCCTTGTTACCGCACTTCTGCATCAGGTTAGTAACAGACTAAAATCCAGTTCAGATGGAGCATAGGG